TTGAGGCTCTGTCTCAAAAAAAAAAAAAAAAGAAAGAATAGATGTCTTGGACTGATTGTGGTGGCTCATGCCTGTAACCTAGCACCCTGGGAGGCCAAGGTGGGAGGATTGCTTGAGCTCAGGAATTCAGGACCAGAAAAATTAGCCCTGCATGGTGGCAGGTGCCTGTACAGAGGCCGAGAGAGGAGGATCTCTTGAACCCAGGAGTTAGAGGTTCGTGTGAAATAGGCTGACACCATGGCACACTAACCTGGGCAACAGAATGAGACTCAAAAAAAATTATTTTTTCTTCATACTATATACAAAAATGGACACTTTAAATGGCTTATGCTTATTTAGATCAATAGTTTAAATATGAAAGCTAAAACTAATTAAACTTTTAGAAGAAAACATAGGGACATACCTTTATGACCTTAGATTTGGCAGCACATTCTTGGATATGAAACCAAAAACACATGCAATTAAAAAAAATAGATAATTTGAACCTCATTAAAATTAAACATTTGTGTATCAAAGTACATTGCCAAGAAAATGAAAAGAATGGAAGAAAGTGTTTGCAAATATTACAATTGCTTTGGGTCTAGTATCCAGGATATATAAAGGAGATGTAAAGAGAATATATATGTTGAATTTTTACAATTCAGCAACAGAAAGGCAACTCAATTAAAAAATGGGCAAAGGACTTGGAATATATATTTCTCCAAAGAAGAGGTACAAGACAAACATATGAAAAGATGCTTAGCATCACTAATTGTTAAGGAAGTTCAAATCAAAACCACAGTGAGTGGCAAATGGACATATGACTCAGCAATTTCATTCCTGGATATATATCTAAAAGAATTGCAAATGGGTATCCCCCAAACCCAGATGTACACATATGTTCACGGTAGCACTATTCACAATAGTCAAAAGATGGAAACAACCAGTGTCTATTAGTGCATGAACAAACAAAATGTATTATCAGTACAGTGGAATATTATTTGGCCATAAAAAGGAATGAAGTGCCAATACATACTACAACATGGGTTAATCTCAAAAACATTGTAAGTGAAAGAAGCCAGATACAAGAGAACTGTGTGATTCCATTTGTGTGACATATCCAGAATAAGTAAATCCATAGAGACAGAAAACATGTTGGTAGTTGCCTGAGGCTGGGGGAAATGGAGAATGGGGACCAATGATTAATGGGTCTAGGGTTTCCTTTAGAAGTGATGAAAATATTTTGGAACTGGCTAGTGGTAGTGATTGCACAACATCATGAATGTACTAATTACTGCTCAATTTTTTTACTTTAAAAATGGTTAGTTTTATGTTATGTGAGTTTCACCTAAAAAAAAAATGTCTTTATGAATAGATAGTAGTGTATACAAGTCTGAAATTTGAAGACTTCCAGACTGACGATTGTAAATACAGGCATTTTCAGTTTATAGAACTTATTTAAGACCATTCTACTGGGTAAGGTTACTTAAGGAGTGAGCAAAGATAAACAGAGAGTGGGGCTGAAGCCTTCCCACTGTGTCTGGTTCACAGAGATGAGAAGAAACTAGCTCAGGAGAATGAGAAGTAGCTAGCTATTGGGTTCCATGGGCATAGAGAAGAGGAGCATCTTTTTTGTTTGTTTTGTTTTTTGAGACAGAGTCTCACTCTTTTGCCCTGAGTAGAGTGCTGTGGCATCATAACTCAGAGAATCCTCAAACTCTTTAATCCTCTTGCCTCAGCCTCCTGAGTAGCTGGGATTCCAGGCATGCACCACTACACCCAGCTAGTTTTTCTGTTTATAGTAGAGATGGGGTCTTGCTCTTGCTCAGGCTGGTCTTGAACTCCTAAGCTCAAGCAGTCTACCCACTTCGGCCTCCAGTGGCCTCCCAGAGTGCTAGGATTACAGCGTGAGCCACCGTGGCTGACCATTTTAAAAATTTTAAATAAAGGGCAGCACACATAGCAGCTCAATGTGTAGGGCGCCAGCCACATACACCCAGGCTGGTGGGTTTGAACCCTGCCCGAGCCAGCTAAACAACAACACCTACAACAAAAAAATAGCTGGGCATTATGGCAGCTGTAGTCCCAGCTACTTGGGAAGCTGAGGCAAGAGAATCACTTAAGCCTAAGAGTCTGAGGTTGCTATGAGCTGTGATGCCACGGCACTCTACCAAGGGCAACATAATGAGAATCTATCTCAAAAAAAATTTTTTTTAGAATAAAGTGCACAGGGCAGAATTTACATACCATGATAGTTCTTACTGGTTTAGAAAAAGTGGCATTAAGGTACTGTTTTTATTTTTAATTTTTTTTTTTAACTGCAATTTGGCTAGGGCTAGGTTTGGACCCACCACCCTCAGTATATGGGGCCGGTGCCTACTCACTGAGCCATAGGTGCTGCCCACTTTTTTTATTTTTTAAGTGAAATAGTATAATCAGCTCAGCTTAGGGCGGTGGCAGGGTTTAAGAAAAAAATCACTGCCTAAATCTGATTGCCCCAGGTTTATGTGTCTAATGTCAAGGCTTGGCAGGAACCTGGGGACAGCTCATAGTGGAGCTCATCTCCAAACTAGGAGGAAGTATTATTTAGAGAGAGTTGGGCATTGAAGCTCTCTTCTTCTCAGGCAGTTAGT